CTGTTGCTACAAGAGTGTACTGTACTGTAGGTGTTGAAGTAACTGTGGTAGAAACGTAGAAAAGTTTAATGCAGAAATTTCGAGGTAATGATTTTCTAATACGTGTTCTTTGATTAGATTTAATGGCTTTTAATGAACTTTCCATATTATTTAAACTTTGACGTAATTCCTTAAAGTTCTCGTGACGTAGCGACTCTTGAATTAAAGGTAATTGGCTACTTAAGGAGGTTCATCCCTTCAAGCGGTACTCATTCTATTAGGGGTTTTCCGTAAGTTTAAAACCGACAGCTATAGTCCATAAAAGTTGAGCTCCACTGGCCAATTTAGAGGTTAATTTGCCGTTTCTCCTCTTCTTTCTTTTATTTACATGGGATAAGTTCAAAAGTTGCTAACTTTGATTAACATTTACTTCACAACCAAACGGTAAAAAAATTTCATATTTTTGTAAAAACTGTTAAAACTCATAATTTAAAACATATTAGTTTTTGAAAAAAATCTGTAGAATCGTTTTTTTTTAATTAATGAAAACATGGTCATTTTTCATGTTTTTTCACTGTTCCCATGTAAAACTTCAAACTTTATCAATTTTTATCTTGAAAATGATACGGTGAAATTCAATAAAATTTGAACAACACATGTAAAGTGATGTCAATAATACATCTTAAAATTTTTTAAAAAATCTGTAGAAAATCGATTTTGGGATGAACCTCCTTAACAGATTTATATCTTCGGTGCTTAATTTATAAGTTACATTTTTTTTGAAATAAATATCGCTTCTTCGTACCTTTGATTTTCGTAATTTTAAAATTGATTTGGGGGTTTGTATAATACAATCTTCATCACTGAACAGCAAGCTAGCGGAATTGAGCTTAATAGTTTGCGTATTTGTTCCGCACCACACATTTAATTCAAAGAGTACCTCGGGAACTAATACATATTGATTGGGATCCTTTTGTGGAATGAAAACTATCTCTAATATTCTAAATGCGGAGAATTGGCATACATCGTTGGTGACATGTTTATTTTGACGTCTGATAATACTCGTTTTGCATGAATGAGTTTCACTAATAAAATAGCTTGGCTGTGTTCGTTTACAAATACGAAGCTCGTCGATTTCTTTGCAGAGTTTTAAACTACCAACATCCGAATGTACATAAATTATAGTTATATATAAAATTAGTTAAGATGATCTCATGAGAAGGGATAGGAGCAATGAAGTTTTTTCCAAGGGGAATAGAAATAAGATGATATGTTTGCAAATCTTCGTATTCTAAAACTGGAATTTTTAATACATAAACTAATCTTTTGTTAACTATTCCAATGGTTGTTTCGGAGATATCAATTATGTGTTGATAATTATCCACGATTAACTTAATTGGATATTTCTGATTATCAGATTCTTCGATTTGTCGCAGTTCTTGTATTAGTATTTCTGGAGTAAGTATCTGAGGGTGATCTATTCCATGTTTTCCATCATTTATTGCATCGATTACTAAGTTTAGATCTTCGCTGTATTCAGCTACTGCAATTTCCACTGTAGAAATAAGATTAGCAATTAGTAGCCTTTTTTGGTTTTCATTTGTTGAATTTATTATTTTGTTTAGTTGTTCGGTACGACTTTGAGATTATTCATTTAAAAGTTGTAAATCATGCGAAGCATTGTTTAAAAGTGTTTTTACTATTCTAGTTTGATTTCCTACTGACTCTGACATGATGTTATTGTCTTTATAAATAGCATCAAACTCATTATTAATAATTTCAAGATCATGATCATCTCGTGTCCCAAATAAAGTTTTTGAAAAAGATCCCATAAAATTAAACAAACCTCTTCGCTGTCGTGATTGTCCTAGTATTTGATTGAAAAGAAACTTTAAACTTTCTAATCTGCTAATTCGATTCTTTAGGAGGTTTAATTCGTATTTTTCAGAGCAATTGTTACACAACGCTGAAGCTCGAGAATAAATTTCTGTAATTTGTGCAAGTCGTGTTTTAAAGTTATTGGTGTCGATTCCAAAAATGAGCTTCCATATTTCGTGGAATAATTTCGTTATACCAAGGTTTTCAGAAAAAATTGTAGTATCCTCGAGGTTTTTTAGATGATCATCGGCTTTGATACTGAGTATTAATGCACCCCATAATATAATCCTCATATTTCCTGCAATTAAGTATAAGTTTTTAATCTATTAACATGAATCCATTGTCTTACGTTGTTAAATACAATTTCATAGTTATTATTATTCTTAACACTAAGAATTGTGACAGGTCCTTTCCAATCCGCGTTAAATTTATTATTTTTCACGTTCGCCATTAAAACTAGATCACCGATATCGAATATTTTCTGTGGTAAAACAATTATTGAATCTTGGATTCTTTTGTATTTTTCTTTTGATTTATGAATTTTTTCTTGGGCACTTAGTATATATTTTTCATGTCTATCTTTCCACAAATTAACTAGTTCAGAATACTTGAGACAGGGAGTAGTAGCAAGAATGGAAGGTAGGTTTGCACTCCTACTAAAGGTTAATTGGAATGGTGAAAATCCAGTCCTTTCATCACTCATAGTGTTATAAGCCATGCAAATAAATTTCAGTGTAAGGTCCCATTCAGTGTGATTGTCACTTATCGCAGTTCGAATTAAATCTTTAACAGACGCGTGTGCCCGTTCCAAGCTTTCGTTGCTCTGTGGATGGAAAGTTGTTGTTTTGACGTGCATAATACGGAATAAGTTCTCGAAGTTTTGTATCAGTTCCGATACCAGATTTTGTCCTTGGTCAGTTAAGATATGTTTTGGAGATCCAAAAACATATGTGTAATGGTCGAAGAGACCCTCTATAATTGATTCAGATGTTACATCTTTTAGAGGTATTAGGAGTAGATATTTTGTTAAAATATCTTGAATGGACAAAATGTACTCGTTCTGTTGTGCAGTTACAGGCAATGGTCCGAAAATATCCATAGCAATTTTATCATTAGGATTAGTAGGTTTATCCGGAATGATGGCTTCTGTTTTACGTTTAATACGTTGTATTTTCTGAGTTTGGCATGTGTGACATTTTTTTATGTAGTCAATAATTTCCGTTTCCATGTTAGGCCAAAGACCAAGTTCTCGTGCTCGCATAATTGATTTATTTTCGCCAAAATGCTGAGACATTACTGAACCGTGACATTCCCTAATGATCAGTTTGCGCTCTTCCGGAGTCAGTTCAGTAGTTCCCTGCCGGAAGGGTGGTACTGGATTGGTACTGGAAAATTGGAACTGAGGGCTCAGTACCAACTCAGTACTAATTTGGTGCATTTTGGTACTGAAATGGAACTGGGAAATTTACCTGCGAAAAGGATCGAGTTACCGTTAATACCCTCATAAAAGTGAAAAGCGACTAGCTTTTTCAATATGTTTAAACTAACACTTTATATTTATTTCAATATTATATTTGTTTTTCCTGGATTTATATTATTTTCATACATTATTATGCATATGATATGTCCTTTGGCAGCTAAATTCAAAAATGATGTCTATTTTTTTGTCAAACTTAAGGTATACGAGATAAATTATAACTTTTTAAAATGTAATTATTTTTTGATAAATTTTAGATATTCATAATCTGGAAATATTAACGAATCTCAATATATATTTTTTAAAGTTGAGTTATTAAAATTATAAATTTTTTAAGCAATAAAACTCGGGTTAAAATTTTAATCCTTCAACAAAGGACCTAGGGGGTCTATTGTTAAAGGAGGGATTGCAATATAATTTCCAAACTTAACAGAAATTTTCTACAAACTATTATGGTTTTTTTTGCTGTTTTACACGTCTATCGTAAGAGACGGTTTGTTGATCTTATATACCTTTAAAACTATTGTTAAAGTACTTTAAAAATGTCTTCTAATGGGTTATCAGGTAGTGGTACTGAAGTGGAACTCCAGCCAAGTCCAATTCAGTACCATTCCAGTACCACTCTTTCGGTAGGGTTGCGCACATTTTCTGTCGTGGTATAATTAAGCTCGTGTTTGTTAAGGGTTCTTGATATATAACAGCAGGGAAGACCATCTTGTGACAGTATTGCACCAATACCAACATTTGATGCATCAGTTGTCAGCACGAATCCTTTGTCGAAATCAGGATAACGTAAAACTGGGGCTTGGCATAAGGATGTTTTTAATTTGTCAAATGACTCTTGGCATTTGTTTGTCCAAACAAAATCATTAGAAACTTTCTTTAATTCGGTCAAAGGTTTTGCTATTGTAGAATAATTGTTAATAAATTTTCTATAATAGCCAGAAAGACCAAGAAAGGATTTTACTTCTCTTGTGTTTGTTGGTTGTTTAAAGTAGCTAACTGCAGATAATTTTAAAGGGTTCGGTTTTACTTCGTCTTTTGTTGTGCAATGTCCTATACCCTGTTCCAGGAGAGATCGATATTTTTCTGCGCATCTTGTTGTAAAAGGGTGGGATTTTAAGTAAAATAGGCGTTTTCTATATTTTTTATCTAGAAAATGTAACCAATAATATAAAAAGGATTGGAACATGTGTTGCTTTTTCTATATTAACCACAATCAAGCAATCTGGTCATCCTATACTACCATAAGATCATAAATCTAACGCATTTACAGTTTAAAGGACCTTTGTGCCTGTTCTCCAACAGGGGTCCGAAGGGTTTTTTATAGTTTTATGGTTTTTAATAGTAAAATTAAAAATTGTTGAAATCTGACAAAATAATTATTTAAATATTATATTTGCAATGTACAGGTTAAAATAATTACAACAGTATTTAATTTTTTCAAATACTACAAAATTAGAATATGTAAATATTTAGTGGAACTAGGGATTGGTTATAACACGGGTAAAAATAACGAATTTTTTAATGATTGTTTTATTGTAATTTATTGTAAAAATCATTGAGTTATTATTTTATAATAACAATTATGGTTATAAAAAACTTGATAATTTTTATAATTTATTAAATATTTTTAAATTTTTCGCAACCAAGTAATACTGATATATGTATAACCTTCACTTTCCGAATATTCTTCAGAGCTTGTTTCTCCTGTTACAGTAAATACAAATTGTGATAAATTTCCATCAAATAATTGTTATGTACGCTCGTCTGTTTAAACATGATTGATAAAGTTACTCCACAATTGTGGAGTTACTCGCTGTATTCCTTCATGAAATAATTTTAATACATCCGGAAGTTTAAAAGTTGTATTATTTGTTTTTACATGTCCCTTTACAACTGACCACGCCATTTCAATGGGGTTTAATTCGCAATGATACGGTGGTAAGCGAAGAATTATTTTGTTATCTTTTTTGTCTATTTCGTCAATGATATATTTATTATATAAATGTTTTACATTCTTAACTAAGTTTAAGAGCATTGGTTTTAGCATCCACTCTTTAAAGGTCACTCCTTTTTCCAAAAGCCAGTTACGTATGTCATTTTTCTTCCATTGCATATTTGGTAATTTTTCTATTTTAACAGAGTGATAAGGAGCATTATCCATGACAATAACAGTTTGCATCTAAAGAAGGCAATATTTCTTCAAACCATTGTTTAAATGTGTTACCATTCATTTCGTCATGGTAATCAGATGAATTCTTTTTTGATTCAAAACATAGTAATCCACCACGAACAAAACCTGCTTCACTACCAATGTGCAAAATGATTAATCTCTTGCCCCTTCCAGTTGGATTTGGTGCACCATTAGATAATCCTCGTAAAAACGCATCTTTTCTGGATGTAATAGATTTATCATACCATACTTTGTTGCAAACGTCACCAGTATTAATCCAAGTTTCATCCAAATAATATATGCTACGTTTCTCATTTCGGTATTTAATAATCTTTTGCAGATATTCTCTGCGCCAACATATTAAATCCTCTCTTTCAGTTAACATGTTTTGTCTATCTCTTTTACAATAAGAAAAGCCTAATTCTTTTAACAAACGATACAAAGATGATCTGGAGAAATTATGTAAGGCATCATCTTCATTTACAGAACTAAGAATTTTGTCAATTGTAGGTAATCTGCATTGAAAATAAAAATCATTTATTTTTCTGCGAATAGCTGTTTTTTTAAATTCTACTAATTGTTCACTGAATTTTATCCTAATCTTTTATTTATTTGGAGATTTTATTAAACCATTATTTTCTTAATCTGAAATTGTCCTTCTTATGGTCCCGATTCCTACACCAATCATTTTCGATATCCTAGGAACAATACCTTTTTTTTCATTGCTGGATTTTCCAATTTAATGTTTTTATAAAGGTTGATTATCATTATTTTCTGATTGCTATGAACCATCTGTGGATTTAGAAACAAATATGTTGTTAAAATATAATACAGTAATATTAGTGTAATATTACATGCTACTTAGGTGTTACTGTCAGGATAGAAACATCTTAATTTCCCGATATTTCCAGAACATGTTCATACAATTAAATGTTAGTTTTACACTTACCTGTCCATTCTTATTTTTTTTTGGAGGTGAGATATCCATTGCTAACACTTAAACTTCACTATATTAATTCTAAGAAAATATCGTTTTCGTACGTTTTAAACAACGTGTTGTACTTGCAAATGCTTTGGAGAAACTGAATGTTGTTGCTTCGTGTTCGGCAAGGAAAAGTAACATTAAGTTAAGTCGGACGAAAACTTGAAAAAAGCTTTCTTTTTTATTGCTTAAAACTACATTATTTCAATAGCGAGTTTCTAAGGGACAGTTTATTTTGGTTATTAGACTTATATATTTCAAGTCAGGTAAGTGGGTGAGTCACTGCTTCACTTTTTGCCATTTTTAAATAAAATTATCTGAAAAAATATTATAATTAACAATATCAATTTGGTTAAATAATCATTAAATGTTTATTAAAATTAAAAGTTTATATTAATAATGAATAATATTAATTTTTATTAATCGTCAAAGTACAGAAATTGTTAATAAAAATCATGTAATACTTTAAAAAATTATATGTTTATTTTGCGCTGAAAAGCCATAAACCATAAACGGGCCTTAGTAGTAGAAGGAGGGAAGATAAAAAAAATTGTCAAATAAGTAAGTCCGCTTCACTACTAGTCTACCCATGAGTGCGACGAAGACACTCTTATGTGTTGCTCTGTTGGTTCTCGCTCGCACTCACGCTTACTGCCGGCTACTATGAAAGCAGACAAACTGTACAATGTGAAGCAATAAACGAACGGTTTAAAAGGGATAGAAAAAAATGTAGTTGACAGTACATATGTGTCTTAAAATTAAAAGAAAATAGAAAGATACAGCTTATTTGCTGCGACGAAAAATAATATACGCCTACTTTTATAGCTTTCTGCGCGAAAAGGGCCCAAAATCATCCAGAAAAATATCGATCTCTCCTGGAACAGGGTATAGATATTCTAATTCGGGTTGAAGGTATTCGCATTTGTCAGGTTGGTGTTTTAATCCAGTTTCGCGAAGGCGTTCAAATAGTGTTACAAGGTTATTGTTGTGTTCTTGTAATGTTGAACCGAATACAACAATGTCGTCAAGGTAGACGAAACAGATTTTGCCAATCAATCCTTTAAGTGCACAGTCCATCATGCGTTGGAATGTTGCCGGAGCATTTTGGAGTCCGAATGGCATTCGTTCAAACTCAAGATGTCCTTCTGAAGTTGAAAAAGCCGTGAATTTTTTCGAAGACTCCTCCATTGGTATTTGATGAAATCCCGCCTTTAAATCGAATATTGAAAAGAATTTTGCCTTTCCAAGATGATCCAGTATATCATCAATCACCGGAAGTGGATAGGAATCTTGATCAGTAAAATTGTTAATTTTACGAAAATCAAATTCGACATTTTTGAACCCCTGATGCGTCGATTTTCTTTGGCACTAACCATAGGCGTGAATTATAAGGAGAATTTGAATGTCTGATTATCTTTTTAATTAACATCTCTGCTACTTGGTCGTTCATTTCTTTTCTATGACTTTCGGATGGACGGTATGATTTAGTGTTAATTATTTTATCTTCCTTCAAAACAATCCGATGAGACGTTAACCTACAACTAGGTAATGGATCTCCAGGAAGTTCACTTTTCAAGATTTTGTAGTCTAATTCTGTCATTAAAATTAATTTAGGTTTTTGAGAGTCATTAACAAGTGGTACACTTATTTTAGAGTCACAAATACGAAAAATTGAATCCCGAACATGTGGGTTGTCTATAAATTCTATACACCCATTTTGTTTCGAAACTGGTATGTCAACTACTTTTATTTTATTTGGAGGTATTAGTATTCCGTCGTCAATAAGATCGTGTGATTTTTTGTCTAATTGTAACTCATTATTTGATAAATGTGACGCGATATGAAGAAAGGGATCTTAGAAGCAAATCGTTATTTGCGCTGGAGAAGTGAGAGAACAGGCGAGTGTGCTGCGCGAAGTTTCCGATATTTCTCTCTCTTTCTTTCTTACCACTACTATCGCGTCTCACGTACATGTGTTCGTATGTTTCCGTCAAGAGAGATACACTGACTATACCTACTCTTTCGACATGTGACAGTTGTTATAGGCATAATAATCTCTACTCGAATATTTAATTTTGACAGTACTATTTTAATTACTTTATTAAATATTATTTATAAATATTGTCAAGTTGTGTAAATCTTATTTTTTGTTAATTATTTTTAATATAGATTTGAAGATTGTGTTAAAATATTTAAGCATTAAAAGATTTTTCAAAATATAAATAAGTATCGGATAAAATGTAACGGCTGGCTTTAACTTCATCCAAAAAATCATTATTGATTAGTAAACTCTACCTATAATAACAAATTACATTGAAAGATCTTACGAGTATTAAAATGGAAATAATGAATACAATGAGCGTTATATTATAACGATTGTTATTTAATCTCTTTATTTCCAACATTTTGACTCTGAGATAAATTATTCTAATTTAATCACAATTCGTTAAACATTGTTAAATAAGAGTATACATTTTCTGAAAACTTTGGTACAGAAACATTTGGTTTCAATTACATTCTCATCATATGAGATATTATTTTTTGGTATTAATAATGGTTTTTAAAATTTAAAGAAGATAATAAAATATTTAAATCGAGCAGATTTTAATTTTAAAGACTAAAAAAAGAAAAAGTGTTTCTTTTAAATTTCTGAATGCAAAGCACATACAAACCAAAATCATATTCAAAATAGTTTCTTATTGTTTCTCAATAATCATTATTATTAAAGTTTTAATTTTTTAAATATATTCTTCTCCGAAATGCAAATTTTTTTAATTACTTCTAAAATTTTTACTGTACTTAGAGAATGATAAAGCATACAAACAATTTAACAATATTATGCTTTTCAAAACACTGATATAACTAAAAATAAAAAAAGTAACACCTAAGCTAAATTATTATAATATAAAGATCACAATTTTTAATAGCACCTTCAGATTTGCACACATTTATCGCATTTATTGTTTCAAAACACGGGTACTTACCACTTTTTAATTTTTTAAAAACACAAATTGAAATTACTAAACTTTCGTTATAAACTATATTATTCTTGAACTTTGAATATTATAAAATTGAATATTTCCAATTTTGAGTTTTCCAAATTTAAATTTCTACGTTTTAATTTTAAATCTCGATTTTATTACAATTTTTGAGAATTATAATATTTTGTAAGTCTCGCAAAAATTTTATAATTTTGATTATAAAATGTGCGGAATTGTGAAACATTATAAACAAGGGTTTGTTTTATATGTTTCACTTCGTATTCGATTGGAAATATTTTAAATTTAAAAGGAATTTTTTGTTTCAATTTTAGTATTAATCGTCTCTGTTTCTTTTTCTTTTGGCAGTTTTTGGTTTCGGAGCAACTTCTTCCTGTTTACTGTCCTCGTAACGAAATGGACGTATTTCTTCATAGAAATACTACTGTCGCTCAATTGTTAGACCGCTAGGACAAATGTTTTTTATATCTTTTGCCTTTTTTTTCAGTTCGAGTATTTCCGAGTGGACCAATTCTTGAGGTGAATCGATAAACAGTTTTGCTTTAATTTCGCCAATGCGAAAAAATTCGAAATGGTGATACTTCGTGATTTGTGGAATGGGCTGAAAATATTGTTTTAAATATTCATCCCATTTTTTCCATTGCACATTTCGATTTTTTGTTACAGGATCGACTGTAGGAAGCGAAAGATTATAACTATTAGGCGAGGAAGTGAACATCGTTTATAAAATCTTGGAAACAATCAACATTAGATCGGGAATATTTACATTTAACGATCCCAAAATTTCTATCGGGACTAAATTTTGTGTGCCCTGTCAATAGAAAATTAATAGAAATTTTCTTCTTTTTCCCCGCAGGGCGCGAAGTAGGTCAGTATTTTCCGTAAAAGTCAGTAAATTTTTCTCAGGTCCGTAAAAGTAAGTAATTTTATGTAGAAGTCTGTAAAGTCCGTGAATTCTACTTTTCGGCTGAAGCGCCACCAACGGAGGGTTTGACTTTCACACCAACTCCCCCTACCAATCGCTACTGTAAAACGATATTTTTGTTGTTCTTTTTTTGAAAGTAGTTTCTGTTCTCTGCCACTTATCACTTGTCATAACAAAGTTTTTTAATATTTTCACCGTCTGTAACAGCTTAACCTATGTTAAACTATTTTACGTGTACTAGT